GGAGATAGCGGCCACGCGGGGGGCGGTGCTCCAGATACTGTTTCCGCCGAAGTCCTGCTCGGGAGGAAGAGCGCGGAAGCGGAGCAGCCCAAGTCGGACTTTTGGCATCTGGCCGTTGGATTCCATCGCGGTGCAGCCGTTGATTTACAAGTTAGCTGTGTTCGCGGCGTCGCAATTGAGTCAGAATCTGCCGATTCTTGATTCAGGGTTGTTGAGGAACGGAGATGCACAAAATTAAAGCAGAGGTATTGTTGTGAAGCACAGGTAAGTCCGTAATGCTGGATAAGTCTAACTGGATCTAGCAGTAGGTATTGTTGCAAGCTGGTTGTATCGTTCGTTGAATATATGCTGAACCCCCAGGCCTGGTGCCCGAGCGACTGCATTTTCCCCGAAACGAACAGGGAGCTTCGCTGGGGGCTGCGTTGGTGGGGGAGAGTTGCAAGCCAGCGGGCAATCGAGCAAGCGAGTAAGAAAGGTTGGGTTGGGTCAGACAGAACAAAATTTGCGGCCGGTTTGGCGGGCGTGTGTGAGCGCGAGTCGACGGGACGAGGCGAGGCGACGAGTCCAAGTTCCAAGGCCCAATCCAACACATTGAAAAACAAAGAATCTCTCGTTGGCGCATGCGAAAGAAAATTCGGCCGGCAGACGTCGCTGTGGTTACGGGCTGCTGCGACATCGTTTGGTTTTCGGTGAGTGGGTGGTGGGGCTATGTGAACAGTTGTTCGCCACCGAACCAAAACCAAGCTGAAAGCGCGTCCCGGTTCTGACTTGTCTGTCTGTGCACCAGATTTCTTCGCAGAGCTCTGCATCCAGTCGTGAGGCGAGACCGCGTTGTCGCCTCTGCGGGTAGAACCCGTGAACCGAGTCGTTCTGCGAGACTGCGACCTTACGCGCCAATATCGGGAGGTTTGGCGGATAGGAACCTCCGTCCATCCAGCAAAACCCCATCCCCCCCACCTCTCCCCTTTCTCCCCCACCTCCCCCGCTTCCGTCTCTAGGCTTGGGCTTCAGGTGAAAATTTCAGTCACAGGAATTCGCGCGCCAGGTGCAACGCGGAGTTCCACCACCACGCCCCACAAAGCTGTCACCGACAACTGACACCACCCGATGATGATGCTGCGGCGCTTCGCTCCCCTGTCCAGGTGCCTTCGCAATGGTGTTGCGGGGCATCCCCATTTTCATGAAACTCGTCATGGAGGTGGGTTAATACAGTGGTTGTAATGATATACAAAAAGGTGCGGTTGAACTTTGTAGTGACATGGTGTTTTGAGCAAAAAACATTTTATCTGAGTGTTTGGTACATGGATGCCACATCGCGGATCACCATAGTAGTAGTGAGTTGAGATTTCCAATCAGTCGGCAAAATGGTTTTATTGAAAATGGGAGACATAAGGAAATCAGTTCCAACTTCCAATTCAACGGGCCCATTCAGCATGGTTTACAATGTAAATAATAGCAATGAAAACAATAGCAAGGAGATCACATACTTGGGCACAGTCAAATGATTCGTAACAGTAAGACAACACCCCGCGAAATATCTGGTTACATTCTCGATACAATGTACACTCTGTTTGTTGCAGCAGATTTGTCACTGTTGCCTACACCACCTGACGGACTGCATGAGGACCCGTTCTTGCGTCTTGTCATCCGCCAGTGTCGTCCGAAATTTGCCTGTGAGCTAGGCTCGGCGAAACCTAGATACGGGCAAACTTTGGACGACACTGACGGATGACACGACGCAAGAACAGTCCTGAAGGCAGGCCAGTGGAAGGACAGCAAGGTCAGAGATCGGGGAACACCTTGGAGTGTCAAGGACCTGGCAGAAACCGTCGTCAAGGTCGACTGGCTTGGTGGTTTGGGGGCAAGGGGAGGGCTGGGGGAGCGGATCGTGGAATTTCCCTTTGTGCCCGGAAGATTTCAGGTAGTAGGGAGAAAAACTCATCGGTTTTTAGAGGGTGAGGATTCCACATAGAACTGGAGACCAAGTCTTCACATTGTTTACCGATGCCGAGCCAATATTGGGAAGGCCTGAACTGTACACAGCTACTAACTGCATGGCGAAACTTGTGCAAGCGCAGAAATACGACACTGGCAATCCCAGTGGATTCCTTCCCGGCGGACACAATATGGAGTCAATTTCAAGACCGTTGAGTCTTTTGAAAAAAGCAAAATGATATTTACAGACTGCAGGTTGGTGAGGAGAGGACATGAAAGAATGTCGACAAGGGCACAACTCGCCAAACTCCACGACCGCAGAGTGTGCGTGCGACGGGCAACGGAGACCTGGGGGGGGGGACCTCGCGAGAAGGACATCTGCGCGACGAGTTTGATTGTCCCGATCAGGGCTCTCACTAGGTTTTCCCCCACCTCCGACGATCAGTGCCCCTCGAAAAATCACCCTGTTAAATCCGACTTCGGCAAAGAATTACCCTGATTCTTCAGGGTGCGCGTTCGAAAAGGCCTGATAGAGCGTGGGCAGTTTTTTGTGGGACGAGACACTGGGGTTGCGAGTGGGAGAGCTTCGGGTTGGGAAATCCGCCACCACAGACGCACCTGTGAAGGAGCTAAATTTGGGCCAAGAGGGGCGGGGAGAAGGGGGGTGGGGGGAAGGGCTGGGGCGATTTTGAGTGGCATGAACATCTGTTCGTGGCTGCTCATATTAAAACCTGCTGCTAAGTAACCAGTGATCTGGTAGTGCATGCAGAAATACAGGTGAAGTTCTAGCTCCTTGGCACCTTAGGGCTTGGTTCATTTCCCAAGAAACATTCGTTTAAATGCTTACCGCACTAAATCGTATAAAAAACGACAGCAACACACAGAAATGTACAAGAACCTTCGCAATATTCGAGTTTAAGCTATTCGATCCCTGCCGTTATACAACTTTCCCCAAGTTTGGGAAAGGGAAGGGTGGGGCTAAGGGGGGAAAGGAGGACTGGGGACCTTGAGATATTCCCACACCTCCTGGAGGCTACCCTTGTGTCCGGTCCGGGTCCTCCCAAAATCCTCCCGTACTCTACGGATGAGTAGGAAAATCTCCCTGAGTTCGTCAGGGCTGGGCTTCAAAAAGCCCTATGAAACACAAGGCTGGTCGAGAAATCACCTTGGATTTTCAGTAAAGTCAGAATAATTACTCTGTTAACATGTGCCTTGGTCCCGATATTGCATTGAGATTTTCCGTGTCAGGGCAGCCCGAACGGGGAAAATGCGGGGCCAGAACGAAAAACAACCCGTACAGTGCCACGCTAAGGCTCAAGACTGGTCAGAACAACAGGCGACGGACATTTGAGCCAATGCGACAACGACGACGTCCCATGCGACCAGCAGCACAGAATCGCACCAAGTACAGCAAATGTTTTTGTGCCCGGGCAGTGGAGTGGACAAATGTGGTGGTTGGTTTAGCTGACTACGGCAGCAGGATGATAGATTCCAAGACTGCCCAGAGCAACCAGCCAGACCTTCCCACTAGCCTAACCCAGCAGCATCTCCCCCCCACCAGCCTTCCACCAACACTTGCAAGACAAAATCCACAATGTAACAGGAAGAAAGCAAGCAGGCAAGTGCTCAGAGCAGGAGCAAGCAGCTAGGGTTTCATCCCCCCTCCGCAAATCAGCTTTCAGAGAAGAGCCTGCTGCGAGAGGAGGATATGTAATGTAGGCAGAAGAAAGCCTGTCCTCCTCCCCCACCCCACCAACCTCTTACGCGTTGCAGTCAGACAGGCAAGATACACGCGTAGCGCTTCAGTCATGGCTTACGCTCAAGGACTAGAACGCAGATTGCTAGTTCAGACACGACTTGGGCTAAGCTAGCGTCATCTTACAGGATCAACTTAGCCCTACATAAACCGCCGTCAGGTGTACCTTGGTTGCTCAGGTTGCTGCAGAGGCAGTTTCGACCTTATTTCTTAGGAGTGGAATTGTTTTGGAGAGGACCCCACTGGGGCAAGCTTACTGGGTTTGTGGCAGAGGAAGGTCTGTTATACTGGGCTCTGAACATTACCCTGAGGCCTTACTGGGTTAGATATTAAGTTATAGGCGGAACCTTTTTCTTCACGTGCTGTCTTCCAGTCACGGAAATGGGCTGCCTGTTAGAAAATCGGCCAGTTCGGATAGGCGTGGGCGGCGGTAGATTCCGTGGAAGTGCTTCCTTCCACACTCTCAATCTGCGCTCAATACTCCTAGCAACACTCTCAGTCTCCGCTCTCTTAACTCTTTCACAAGCCCAAGCCGACGACTCCGCTTCGACCGTTTCCGGCTCGGTAACTGTCCAGCCGTCGGCATTCGAGATGTACATGCAGGAGAGATGGCGGAACGAAGAGCTCGTAAAGGACAATCCGGAGGAGTTCGCCATTTTTAAAGCTCGCGAGCTCTCGAAGCACATGCTCCGTCGAAGCCTCGCTAGCCGGTCAAACCGAAAGTCCGCGTCTGCTGAGTATTCCGCCTCTCCCGAGGAACTAGAGGAAACTCGGTCAGTTGGGAGGATGCTGAGCGAAACGGCGCGTAGCGGGGGAAGCGCAGGAGGTTCCAACTGGGGACAGAAGCTTCGCGCTTTCGCGGGCTCGGTGAAGCGGAGGATTCTCGCGCAGCCGGGTTACATGGAGCTGTACGAAATGACGGATCTCCCCCAGCGAAGACGGTTACAGGGCAACTCGGGGAAGATCCAGGCGATTCAGGCGCCTGACCTGGGAGCAGCGCCGGCTCGCGGCGACTTGAACGTGTCCTGGTATCGTTGGCAGAGCGTGTCGCAGCCGACTCTGGTGGACTGGAGCATCACGCCGTACATGACGGCCATCTTAAACCAGCAGTTCGTAAGTATCTCCTCACAAACCAGTGTCCACTTTTCGTCTCTCCTCGTGTCGCAGCCGACTCTCGTGGACTGGAACATCACTCCGAACGTGACGGTCATTTTTAACCAGCAGTTTGCAAGTCGATTTCCTGTCTGTCCGTTTTTCCCTTGCTGCTGCCTGGAGGCGTTTCTTGGCAGAGAGGGTCATCTGTGGTTGTCCAGGGTAATCTGCATCCCGCGTTGTTGCAGCGCATTTGGGCCGGCAATTCACTCTTGTTCCTCCCGCTTTTCCCATCGTCGACCTGCTTCCGGCTTTCGTCGTTCTCTCCCCCTTTCCGTGTTCGTGTCTTCCTTTCCCTCCCCCTCCAGTGCGAGAGCTGCTGGGAGATGACCGCAACGGACCTCGTGAGCAGTTTGTGGGCTCAACCAGACCAACCAGACCAGACCGCGGAGCTTCAAGCCTCTTCTCCTGCCTCTTCCCCTGTTCGTTTCTGCCCTTGTTCCTCTCTTCCCCTGTTCGTTTCTGCCCTTGTTCCTCTCTTCCCCTGTTCGTTTCTGCCCTTGTTCCTCTCTTCCCCTGCTCGTATTTTCACGTGCCTCCAGTGCGAGAGCTGCTGGGCGATGACGGCAACGGACCTCGTGA